GAGCAGGAGTTGAATTCACCAGAAGTAGAAAATTCATCAACACATGCTTATCATCGTACAAGTTGAAAAGATTTCAGATTCAAATGAGTCACTTAGAGAGGACGTCGACAGGAAGCGCTTGAATTCCATGGAACTGTGTGTATATGTTGTAAACAACCCAACAAAAAATATTTTCGCTTGCAGAGAACTCCAATAACGCAAATGAGAAATAGCGAAAGGATAAATAGCAAACATACAAAATATCCTCTTGAATGTCAAAAACATGAAATACTTCAGCCACAATTCAATGAGTTCGACCTAAAACGGAGTGAAATAAAAGTTGAGACGTTTGGAAAATGAACATACAGCAAGAAGAACTGGCATATTTGCTTCTCGAATACTATCCGATTCAACATGTCTTTTAAGACGACCCGCATCTTTAACGCAAGACACGAATTCCATTGCTCTACAACATTGATTCATTATGCTCACAGTTTTCCATCAATGAAAATTCTTTACTGTTTTCGTCACAGTAAAGCGTGGTATGGGCAACATTTGCATACAATTATTTTTTGAAATGGGTGAACATGGCTACGAAATGTTGACTCTGTTCTTCGCTCCATCGCAACCAAAAAAAAATCCGGTGAACAAATAAGTGCACATTCCTTCATTGTTCATTTAGTATTGTCTCATAAGAGCTTTACAACAACTGATCAACCAAAAAATACCACCTCTGTGATCAGTATTCTGTTTCTTCGAAAGATACGCTTCTACTCCAGTAATGTGTGACGACGATTCGATAGTATTTGTCAAATTCAAAGTCCAACAAGAGTTTCAAGATGGCGAAAAATAATTGAAAATTATCGGAAAATAACTTGCAAAATCGCCTCCCACTGACCTCACCATCCAATTCCAAAAATATTCTAATGCGATCAAAAACTGTCGACCAAGTTTATGCAATATCATCAGCACTAATGGTATGCCAATCACCGCATAAAGCATTGCAGCCAGTTGACCCAATCGGCTTTTTGCTGTTATATTACCATAACCAATTGTCGTATATGTTGTCACTATAATATGTCGTCACTTTCATCGATTTGAGCAGATCTTGCTAACGAATGATAACTTCAGCAAATGATGAAGATAATAATTATCCTTTAGAGCTTTTAGAATCAGAACGAAAGAACAACCTTGATGAA